CCCCAACCCCTGCTATTCTAAGGGGAAAGATATAATAAAAAAAAAAAAAGTACATTTTGAGTCTTGGAGCAGAAGGTTAAAAAGGGTATCAAGTTTGTTGAGATTATAATCAGAAAGGATACTAAATACTATATTATACATGGTTATAAAAGTAAAATGAATGATTTTAAGTAATGGGTGGGGAGAGGCTTTTACCTAGACATGAAGAAGGATTTTGTGAACATTTGAAAGATAAAATTCAGGACATTTTAGTTAAAGGAGGTTCTAACTTTTAATATCTTTATACTGAGAAAGAAATTTATGTGAATGGTGGTTTAGATTTTTCAAACATAGGAGATAACATTAGGTCTCAGCTTGATAATTCTGCTATTTGGAAGCTGGACGTCAACAATTCATTAATCTACAAGGATTTAATTCTGTTATTTGGAAACTGGACATCAGCAATTCATTACTCTACAAGAGTGAAGTGTCTGGGAATGTGTTTCTGTAGGATAAATAAATTCTAAATGTGTGAAAAAGAAAGAATTAACCACAGTGAAATGCAAAGAGCTAACAGATTATAATGAATGGTTATATTTAATATATTTGAGAGAAACAAACTTTGTCTTTTGGTTAAATCCATTCTATCAGAAAAGGTAACTTCAGAATATATTGTGGTAGGTTACTGTAAGCATTTGATGACTTCTAGATGAAAAACTTCACCTTAGTGTCTCCACTCAGTATTCTTTTATGGCTATTGCTCAGCATAAAAAATTGGATCTTAACTGTGCATCATGTGGATTGAAGTCTGTGAGTTCCACACATCAAACTGGGAATTTTCCCATGTTCTTTGATATTTGATTTTGAATATCCTTTCCTTTTAGTACATTAAGGCAATATTTATTTCTTACTTTTTTTTAAACTTTCTTTTTTTTTTTCTAGAACTTATTCATGGGTTACTGGAAACTACTCAGTGTTATCAGTTTCTATATACTTAATATCGTCTGCTTTACTGAAATTCCCAGATCTCATGTACTGAGGGAATCAGAGAGCACGAAGTTAAATAAATTCAGTTACTTGTATACGGTGAAATCTTTTGGAAGATACTAAAAACTTAAAAGATACCTGCAGACATAGTAGTATATATATGTTTTTATGGTTATATTATTTATTTTGTCTCTCACATTTTATTAATTGGCCACCTATTTACCTGGACTTCCTGAAGAGAGTAGTTCAAAAGTCCTCACAAACTACTGAAGTTAAAGTGGAGAATACCTTCTTTTTCTCATGGTACACGTTTTACTTATTCCATTTTTCTTTTTAGTATTCATTTTGACATAGCTTATTATGTTTTCTTATTTTTTCTTTCATTCATCCAATTATATATTTTCAAATTTTGTTAACTGTGATATTATAAGTACTAGACCTGCTATGCCTATTACTATTTGAATTGCAATCTAATTTTAAGATGTTGAAAGGTACTTTTGTTATATCTGAGCTGTAAGTTCCATGTCATTAAAAATATTAGCCTTTTAAATTCCAATTTTGTGTTAACAGTTGAGTTTAGAAAAAGGAATAAACACAAACCCAAATCTCAACCACTTACATATAAAGCCAGCTATAGTGTGAAACTTTCAGGCTATGAATAAAATACTATGTATAGGAACATGCAGAGAAATGTATGAATGTGCATAGAGTATGAAAAAGTAGTAAGAAAAAGAATTTAAATATTATAAGGATACTTTTACTGTGAAATATGGATTATAACCTTCCAGATAGAAGAGTAGAGCATTGAGATTAATAAACAGATATTACTAAATCATAGGTTGCAACAATGGAAGTAGGAAAAAAGGTAAAAATAAGGTAGGAAAGTACCAGTCTTCAAATAGTTTTAAATGGTCTATTATAGGTTATAGTTCGACTAAAAACAAAACAGGGACTCATTAAAGTGTTATACTACGTATGGTTCATTGTTTGAGAGTTGACAAACAGCAAAAACATACAAAGAAGGGGATCCAGAAGAGACTGCCGAGCCTCTATGTGAATGTAAGGGGAGTGAAATTTTTTTTTTAACAGAGGGAAAAATATAAACTTGGTCCATTTAGTTTATTTCCAAATAATTCATTACATTATTTTAATTTTAGAATTTTATTTATGTGAGAATCATTGTGGAAAGAGGTTATTTCCATTACCAGATATACCACAGAAAAAGAATCAACTAGATTTGGTGACCATAGTAGCTCACATTCTCAGTTCTGTAGTTCATTAATTTTTTCCATTTTACAGATGGAGAAAGTTCAGGGATGAAATATATCTCGCCAAATATATTAGGTGACGGAATGAAACTTTATTTTCAGATACTGAAACTTTCGCTCATTTTATTTTCCTAGACCACTTTCTAAAAAATAATAGAAACATTTGTTATAATCTATTTTAAGAGCTAAACAAACAATGACAGTCATGCATAGAGTCTATCTTTTAATATGAAGTCTCAGGTGGGGTCTAGAGACCCTGAACAGAGTATTGAGATCTGTGTTCAGTCTCAGTATACTTTGAGTGAATGTGTAATTCAAATTTTACTGAGAACCTATTAAGTCTCAGAATTGTTGGATCTTATAAAGAACTATTACAGGTGAAATAGTCTTACAATCCATTTGATAACTTATAATGACATACTAGAGATAGAAAAGTACTCAGGTTGGAGGAATCAAGAGTGATCTTATGAAGAAGGTAAAGCTTGAACTTTATATTACAGATGTTTCTAGCATGATTAGCCTCTACTGCACTCACTTAGTGCTATCAGTTCTTTCTGCAAGAGAATGAATGGAACAGATCACACTGACATTTTGTATCATGAGTCCAGAGGTAAACCACTCAGACCACATCACTGTATTGCTTGAACAATAAGAACAGTGTCAGGAAACTGTCAGGTTTCTCAGGACACTGGCGAACATTACTTAGATGATAAACGGTTGTCAGGGATGTTTTGTCATGAAGGCCAAGGTAGCAGTTACCAGTTGTCAATGAATGGCACTCATTAGCTAAAAGAGGGGCTCACTTTTCCTCCAACATCTAGCATTCTGCCTAGTGCAAATTTTAGCCTCAGAAAGTCACACTTCAAAGAAAGAAAGCAGGGAACTGGTAGAGAACTGTGCCTGGAGTCAGTGATTTGGATTCTGGTACAAGGTCTTACACTAAGAAAATATGTGGTTTTTGTCTGTAATTTAAAATATTTTGCTATCTTTTTCTGATCTATAATGATTAGAGATTATCCTAAATTAGGAAAGATTTGAGTTTATAAGTACCACGGTTGACCTCATTAATTTTAGCTTGTATTATTATTCAGCTGTTATCTTCTTTTACCTCTGGGTTTCCTATAGACAATATTTTATGAATTTCTGTCTTGACCTTTTATAACACAATCAGTTTCCAAATTAAAGGAAATACATTTTATTCACTGTTTCAGGAAATATTTCTTGAGTCTGTAATATACCTGCAGTGATTCCAATTTTTTTATGCATTGGATTGAATGAGACATATGTGTTCATTACTTTATGGGGTTTAAAGCCTAGTTGGGAAGAATTTAGCAAATAGTAAGACTACAACAATAACAACAACAAACATTTCTGGTAAGTTCTGCTAACAGAATTTTGAGAGAAAATTAATTGAAGTTATGCAAAAATTTTAAGTTCTGTCACTCACAAACATAAATACCATATTATTCCAAATACTTATTGAAATATTTTCTGATATTTTGAAGTTTAAAAATAAGCAGGTTTTATTTTCTTATTTATTATTTATGTTTTGAGTTCTTTTGTTGTATTGAGTGGTAATTTGCAAAAGAAAGTTATGAAAAGAAATAAGCAAATTTCTCTGAATGACTAATGTAGCCATAAGATTAAGATACATTAATTATTTCATCAAAAATTGTGTAGATGAATAACCAAAGAGTCTAAGTCACTTGCCCAAGAACAAACTGTTGGTGGTTGACCCTAGTGTATGTCCTGATTATCTAAATCCCAAACTTTTATTCTTTCTATTAAACTATGGTTTTTTTTCTCCAAATAAGAGTATAGTATTATAGGATAGTGTGACAAGTCCTTTTGTTGAATTCTTTAAAATTGATTTCCACTAAATTATGATGCATGTCATAGCTTTGAACATTCTAGATCATGGGCTAAGTGGCCTAACACAGTGTTTCTGAAATTATCCCTGTTGAAGTATAAGCCTTTTTCTTCAACTTCATAATTTTCATAGACTAATTACTTTAGTACAAGACAAATATTAGAAACCAGGGAACCAACTGCTAGAGAACTTGCTAACACATTCAATTTTGTACCTAATTTTATGCAAACTATTAACAGTTCACAGACCTGCACATCTCTGTGGACTATTTTTTCACTGCTTCGGAAACCCATATTTGAATAACTCATAACTGCTGTCTTTAAGAAGTTTACCATTTACTTCATGAGCTGGACCTGTACTCAGTTAATGGTAATACAACATAAAGTAAGTACTATTTATAATAAGGCACAATTTCAACAAAACAATAAACATTTAACTAAGATAACGATGGATGTATTTCCAATGCTATGACTTGTGTAGGAAAATAGGGTTGATCTCTCTGTCAGATGAAGGTTTAGGCCTAGAAAGGTCTGTATTAGAGACTAAGTCAATTATTGGAGCAGGGTAATATTAGAACAACAATCAAAAGATTTGATGTGGAGCTCCTGTTACTCATGTTTATTATCTTATACTACATGTATAGTATCGTGGTATCAACACCAGAAAGATCCACAAGGTCTTAAATGCAGAAATAAATTAGTGGTAGAGAAAAAGCCCCACTTGACAGCTTCCAATGTTTCTGTGTAAGTTCTTCTCAGAAATCATGGACATATTAGACCAGTTTTAATGCTAAAATGGAAGATTTCATAATGTTTAATGTCTATTATTTAAAACCATCTTATCATAATCCTTATTTTCACCTACTGTTGTCTTCAAGTAGCATTACCACAAAGTCAATGGATGGGGCAAATCAGTCTTCGGTGTCAGAGTTTGTGCTCCTGGGACTCACCAATTCCTGGGAGATCCAACTACTCCTGTTTTTGTTCTCCTTGATGCTTTATGTGGCAAGCATGATGGGAAACTCCCTCATTGTGCTCACTGTGATTTCTGACCCTCACTTACATTCCCCCATGTACTTTTTGTTAGCCAACCTCTCCTTTATTGACATGGGAGTTTCTTGTGTTTCTTGTCCCAAGATGCTGTATGACCTTTTCAGAAAACACAAAGTCATCTCCTTTGGTGGCTGCATTACTCAAATATTCTTCATCCATGTCATTGGCGGTGTGGAGATGGTGTTGCTCATCGCCATGGCCTTTGACAGATATGTGGCCATATGTAAACCCCTTCACTACCTAACCATCATGAGCCCACGGTTGTGCATCTTCTTTTTAGTGTCTGCCTGGATAATTGGGATTATCCACTCTATGATTCAAATGGTTTTTGTAGTAAACCTACCATTCTGTGGTCCTAATGTGCTGGACAGCTTTTACTGTGACCTTCCTCGGTTCATCAAACTTGCCTGCACGGACACCTATCGACTAGAGTTTATGGTCACAGCAATCAGTGGTTTCATCTCTGTTGGCTCCTTCATCATACTGCTCATTTCTTATGCTGTCATCATTCTCACTGTTCACAAGCACTCTTCAGGTGGTTCATCCAAGGCTCTGTCCACACTTTCAGCACACATCACTGTTGTAGTCTTGTTCTTTGGCCCACTGATATTTTTCTATGCATGGCCATCTCCTTCCATACACCTAGATAAGTTTCTGGCCATCTTTGACGCTATTCTCACTCCTGTCCTTAACCCTATGATTTACACATTCAGGAATCAAGAAATGAAGGTGGCAATGAAGAGAGTATGCAGACAGCTAGTAACTGACAGGAAGATCTCTTAAGTGACCCTTATATTGTGAATTGGTAATATTTATTATTGATTGCCAAATTCGGAAAGTTTTATTTGTTCTATCTTATGGTCAGGCACTTTCATACTATTTTTTTCTTGTTGTTCATAGGAGAAAAGACATTCACTTTTGAAACCAGAGAGTTATATATACATTATATATAAAGCAATGATTGTAATAATCTTGAACCTAAATTCCTAAGGAATAATACTTATATATTAGATAATTTTTAGAAATATATAAAAGGGTGTGCTTTCCTGGGATTTATCCAGGAAATATATCCCAATCTACACTATTATATTTTGACTTTTCATAATGTGTCTTTATCTGTAAACACCCTAATATGATCACATTCATAGCTATGGTTGGGGAAGTGTTAGGATTTCAATATATCTATTTGATGGATACAAATTAACCTGCAAATGTAATAGGAGTAGTACAAAGTCTGAGAACAAAAATGGTTGTATCATAGCCACTTGCTACTGAGAATGTAAATATATTTATATTAAAAATAGAAGGAACAAGAGTGTTTCCAAGACTATTAACCATTTTAAAAAATAAGGAAGCATATAATGCCATCTTAAAGCCCAATGTTATAGTTGTGATTGAAACATACCTCATCATTAGAAAGATTACCCAGAAGACAGAGAATAACATTACCTTTAGTCAAAGCAGAATGAATATACCTAGATAAATTTGTCATGTCTGCAGACAGAAAAATCAGGTAATAGTTTTGCTTTAATATAGTATTTTGTGGCAAATTAAAAACAAAACAAAACTAAACTAACTTAAAAAAAAAACCAACATACATCAACACCCAAAGTTTTTCATAACAGAAGAGAGGATTAAAAAGATGTGATATGCAAAAAAATAGGCAGAAGAGCTACAAGACACTTCTCCAAAGAGAAAATGCAGATGGTCAACAGGCATATGAAAAAATGTTCAGCATCACTTGTATAAAGGGAGATGCAAATTAAAAGCACAATGAGATACCAACTCACCCCAGTGAGAATGGCACATATTAAAAAAACAAGCAATAATAAATGTTGCTGAGGGCATGCATAGAAAGGAACTCTCCTACACTGCTCGTGGGAATGCAAACTGGTGCAACCACTATGGAAAGTTGTGTAGTGGTTTCTCAAACTTCTAAAAATGGAACTTTTATGATCCAGTAATCCACTCCTAAGTATCTACGCAAAGGACACAAAAAACAATAATTCAAAAGGACACATGCACTCCTATGTTAATTGCTACCCTATTTACAATAGGGAAGATGTGGAATCAACCCAAATGCCCAGAAATAGATGACTGGCTCATGAAGATGTGTTATATATGTGCAATGGAATATTACTCTGTGATCAAAAATATCAATGCATGCCATTTGCAGCAACATGGATAGAACTGGAAAAGATCACTTAGTGAAATAATCCAGGAAGAAAAAGAAAAATAATGGATGGTTTCACTCATAGCAAGAATGTAAGGGATTAGGAAAAATATATATAGAGAGAGTAATTTTAATAAAGTAAAAAAAGAAATTAACTAGTAACTATAAACCAGAGGTATTCTATGGGGAAGGAGAGAGGAACAAGATCAAAATGGGGTGGGAAGAGCACATGGGACTATGGTGATGGCAAATGAGTGAAGTGGTGGTGGGAAGTGTATGGGGATTGCAACTGAGATTAAAAAATGCACAAAATGAATAATAATGTACAAAATATGTAAAAATATGTGATATAGACAGTGGAATAATACTCAGTCATAAAAAGGGAATGCTTGCTATAGTTCCTAAGATGGATGGAACTGAAGGAGTTTAAGTAACATAAAGTAAGAAGGGGAATGATAAACAGTGGACAAGTGCTCATTGTGCAATACTTAGAAAATATGGAACACATGAAGAAAAATAAAACAACTTGAGAAATATGTAGACCTGAGACTACCAGAAGGAGTGGGTGAGATGGGGAATAAAAGGAAAAAATGATAGTGGAGGAATACAATTACTGGTAATGGGTGTAGGGTGAAAATATACATCTGAAGAGTTGTAAAACTGTATCTCTAAATCATACATAGTATTGAAAATAAAATGAAAATATGAGTAATAACATAAAAATATGAAAGCTGATCTGTGGAAAGTTTGATAAAATATTTACATATATCATTTTAAGATTCATTATTTGTAAATATATGGATTTTTATTCTTTGATTAACAATATATACTTAAACCATATTTTGGCTATAATTATCACCAGTAAAATTCCAATCATCCATTTTGTGATTTTTTTTTAAAGATTTATATTTATTTGTGCATACAGAACTGGGATATAGCCCAGAGGCTCAGGGGCGGCGAGAGGTTTCACCATAGACAGAGTGGGGAGCAGAACAGGCAGACTGACAAAGTACACTGCTGAGGGGAGCAGTGGGCGGGTCAGGAGAGGTCTGCCATGCCATGTGGTCACCTCTGGGGCAGGCGGGAATCGAACTCATGCGGAAGTGGCTTCAGCTTCTTAGTGCTGTGCTTTAACCCACTGCGCCA